TGAACAGTTCCCAACTGGCTTCTCCGCTTCCACACTTGTCCCGAGAGCCGATTCTGCCCACAATTGCCAAAGTCGGCTTTACAAATTGTGAATTGCAATTGTGTCACCTCCTGCTTCCCACTGCTCATGGCCATGGCCTCCTATGTCCTTTATGGTCTGCCCCCACCTGCCCCACAGACCGCTTCCTGGGCTGCTCTTAGCCACACTGGCCTCCTCTTGGTTGCTGCAAGAACCAACTCTCCCACCTCACAGCTTTGGCTCTAGATTCCCTCTGCCTCGATTGGTTTTTCCCAGCTCTTAGATCTTCAGTCTGGCTCCTGCAACCAATTTAGGGCTCAGCGAACTGTGTCATCTCAAGGGACCTTCTCTGGCCCCCCTCCCCCTTTCTAAAGCAGCCCACCTCTATTCTTCTGCTTCGCTCACTCAACAGACATTTATTGAGTGTCTACTAGATGCCAGGCACGGCCCATGTCCTCGTGGCTCACAAAACGATGTCATCACCTTCTTTGGGAATCTGCTTGTCCTTTCTCACCAAGTGCCAGGAGGTCACAGTAAGTCTCTCTTGTTCACTGCGTTCACCCACTGGGCACAGTATGTACTCCATAAATATTTGTTCAATCAAAGAATGGATTTATGGATGGGTGGATGGCAGGCAGGCAGGCAGGCAGACAGGCAGGCAAGGAGACTGGGTAGTTATGCAGGGCAGCTGACCCACTCTCCACCTGGCACTTGGTTCTGGCTAAGGTCTCAGTGAGCTCAAATGAAGCTTTTATCAAAGAAATCTCACTGTCCACCTCTCAGGGGGAGCCCCCAGCCCTCAGCCTACCTCTAGCAGGTCCTGCCCCACCCTGCATTCCCTCTGACTATGGTCATCTTGGCAAAGGCAGGCCACAGAGGAGGGGAGTTAACTCAGCTTGCTTGGGGAAGTGGCATTAGTGTCCATCTTCTAGAAGGAGCCCTTGCCATCTCAGTATCCTCCCACTCAGGCCCTGTGCCTAGTGACACTGCACACTGTCCAGTGGAGGGGCTCAAAGAGTGCTCGCAAGTCCCATGAACCTCACCAGACCCAACAGCCTGCCCCTCTCTCTTTCTCTCATCTTGTTCCGCTGTCTCTCTTCCCAGCCCTGAGACTTTGGCCAAGTCCCTCTCCTTCCTGGACCTTCGTTTCCCTCCCAGCAACACACAGGGTGGGGCAGGACACACAGCCGCCTGGTTGCAGCCTAGAACACCTCAGTGCAAAGATCCTGTGGTCCCTATTCCTGCTGGCTCAAGGGCTCCTTGAGGCCTTGCAAACACTGCAGGCAAAGCCAGCCCCCGCCTGCCTGGTCTGCGAACGGAACCTGCAAAACTGGCAGTCCTTGCAGATGCAAGCTGCAGACCTGCCGAGCTGGGGCACCCTGAAACCCGACTCCCAAGAAGCAGCAAACCCAAGGCCAAAAGGAAGTGCAGACTTTGCAGAAGGAGGTTTCTCCTCTCGCAGCTTCAGCCAAGGCCCTTACTCTTGAGTCTCCACCCCGTCCCCCAGGGGCCACAGGACAAAGGTGGTCACTGCCTGGCTTGCTACCTCTTCTGACACTCCAAGTCTTTATCCTTCCAGGACTATGGGAATCCCCAGCAGCCAAGGTCACCACCAAGCCAGACTGAGGAAGAAGGGAGGAGCTGAGAGCTCTGCCTCAAAGGGATCTGGGTGCAAAGGCTTTTCTACAAGCTGTGGCAATAGGTACCATGGCTAACCTGAACACCCCTTAGGCTCTGCCTCTCTTCCCCTCTGCAACAACTGTCACCTTCATCAGGGAAAGCTTTCCAGCCCCAGCTAAGGGCCTGACAGGGGTCTAGCCATTCCTGGCATCTGAATGGACCTCCAGGAGCCTGGGGGAAGGGTGCGTGTCTGGTCTGGAGATACCACCCTCTTCGCCAGCACCCCTAACCCACACTCATCTGGCGCAGAGAGGGAACTTACAGGTCTTGGAGGCCGGAGACAGCCTCGTCCTGGGGATTCCATCCCTGGCCCGACGATGCCCCCAACCAGTAGCGGCGGCATGATTTGGGCGGCTGGTCCAGGCCGAGGGGTGCGGGTCGTTGGGGGCAGGGGAGGACGGTAGCCAAGCCTACTCCAAGTAACCATCGAAGACATCGAGCTCCGAATCGGCATCGTAGAGGCCGGAGCCGGGATCGGAGAGCACGCCGAGGTCCACCAGCGCCTGGTCCATGTCCTCGGGCAGGAAGACGAGGCCCACGTTGAGGACAATGTACTCCATGAGGAAGGCGTAGTATAGGATCAGCACATTGACGAAAAACAGGCCCACGTAGAACATAGAGGGCAGCAGCGACGGTGGCACGTAGGGGACCAGGGGGCCCAGCGCGTCCAGGTGGGCCGCGACCCGGGCGCCGGGCATGCAGGGGGCGGCGAGGGCGGCGGCCCGGCGATCCCAGCGATCTCAGCCGCTGCGGCGCCCGGGCGGCCGGCAAGGGGGCAGCTCAGCCATCCAGGGACGCCCCGGGGGCTCGACCCAGGCGTCGCTGCGCCCCGGCGGTTGCCCCGCCGGTGTGCGGCGGCCTCTGAGGACGCGCCCCGGCCCCTGAAACGTACCCGGCGGGGTCCAGGCACCCCCAGATGTGCCCACAGGGTCCTCTCGATCCTCCCGGCGGCCAGGCAAGCCCCCCCACTTGAGGTGGCCGGGGACTACCCGGCTCCTCCGACGCGCCTCGCTCGAGCTCACAGGCCCTCGCAGCGCCGGCGGGGACCCCACCGCGGCTCAGAGTCGAGGGCCAGTCCCGGCGGCGGTCTCTCCAGCCCCGCCCGGCAGTTCCTCGAGCCCCCTCCGCGCCCCCGCAGGCCCAGCGCCCATGGCTGCGGCCGCCGCGTCGCCCTCCTGGTCGCGTTCCGAGCACCGCCTCCGGAGCCGCCCCGCGTTCATTGGCCCGCCGCCCCTTGCCCGCGCTCATTGGCCCACAAGACTCCCGCGCTCATTGGCCCGAGCCGTCCGGGGGCGGTACCGCTTCGTTCCGCCCCTCGGGGGCGCTGGCCTCTGAGCTGCTTCCCCGGTTCCGGGCTCCGCCCAGGTCTCAAATCCAATTGGCTCTGCGCATCCCCCATGGAGTAGCGGGAGGGGAACGACACAGAACACAGTTCAAAACTAGACCGATCCTGAAGGTTAAGGTAGCAGAAGGGAACCCCCCACCCCGCACCCCGCCCCAAGCCTCCTCAGCAGCCTTCCCTGAACTTGGACATGGCGTCACGCCTCTTTGGAACTCAGTTTACCTGTCAAAAGGAGGCGGGGTAGGGGAGCGGTGAATTTACCGGTGAAAACCTAGGACTTTCCAAAGTGGCAATTTTCCATGGTGGGAAAGATTAATCAGTGCCTCCTTCGGCTCTCCAAATTCTGGCTGCCAGAAGGTCCTTAACAGGTGCATCGCGAGGAGGTGCATAACAGGGTTCAGGAACACCCGAATAAAGAGATTCCCAGGCAAGTCAGACCTGCGGCAGTGGGGTTGCTTCCTGTTTTTGCTTTGTAAACCATGTTTGAAAGAGGACGTGGTTAAACATTGAAACAGCCAAGAATTACATAGAAAAGTGAGTCTCACACTCGCTGATTCCCCTTTTCATGAGCAACTCCTGTATATCCTTCAGGAGACTGATCTTGCCCAAAGCGCCTTCCAGAGCAGACCTTCCTTATTTTTCAAGGATTTGATTTTTTGAGTAATCTCTGCACCCAAAGCAGGGCTTAAACTCACAACTCCAACATCAAGTGTTGCATGCTCTGCTGACTGAGCCAGCCAGGCGCCAGGACAGACATTTACATCTCGGGTCACACTGAGCCGGGTGTTTTACACACATCGCTTAATCGCAGCTAGATGTGGCTGTGTAGCGTGCTAGGCCTTTTTACAGATGAGGAAATCTGGGCCCAGAGAAAAGGGAGGGCCCCGGAAGGCAGAGGCTAGGTCTGTGTGTGTTTGGAGATCAGACCTGCCCTTTTTTCTCCATTACTGTCTGCTTGCCCCTTTAGATCAATTAGAGCAAACCATTAATTCTCCAACTGCCTAAGGTGAAACAAACCTTCATTCTGTCAGTCATTCACATATGATGTGCCAAACTTTGTGCTAGGCAGTGGGGAAAACATGGGCCCTTAGCCCAACTCTGAGCACAGCTAATGAGACACAGTAGTCCTTAGATAACTCTGCGGTGCAGAAAGGAACGAATGAATGGTGAACAGGGCAGTCTTGCCTCCAGGCAGCTTCTCACTCCTCCTGCAGGACAGACATGTAGATACATCTTCCTGGCTCATGCGGGGAGTTGGGTGTTTCTTTTCTTCTAATTCTAATTCTTCTTCTCAATGTGGTAGTTTTGGGAATTGCTTGGATTTTGGGTGAAGACTAGAGAAATCCTCTGAAAGCACAGGATGTTCAGTTTCGGTACACTGTTGCCCGAAGACCTTTCAAAATCTATTTTTTAAGTTGAAGTGGGAAAAGAAAAGCTGTAAAGACCGTCAAGACCATTACCGATTTGGTACAGATTAGTTTACGGGGGCATAAAATGATGGTGCCAGGGTCTGAACCACGCACTTACTAGCTGCATGACCTTCGGTAAGTCAGCTCCTCCGTCATTCAGTTTCCCCGTGGGTAGCGTGAGGATGATAGTACCCACCTCATAGGCTGGTTGTTAGCCTTAAATATCAGTCTATGTAAAGCGCTCAGGACGGTGGCACATAGCAAAAGCCATGCAATAGCTATTCTGATTCTTGTCATACAACCTGAAGATTGTGAACACTGCGGTTACTTTTAAGCACCCAGCCTCACCGATTCCCTTCCCAGGGGTGCGCGCATAGGTTTCCCACTCCCGCCCACCGTCCGGGATACTGCGGGCTCTCCTCCTCCTCTCGCTCCGCCTCTTCTCCGAGGCCGCAGGCCCGCAGTTGCGCAATGCACGCCGGGTCTTGTAGTTCGTTTGCCGAGTCCCGCAGGCGGGGGCCTCGCGGGCGAACTGCACTTCCCAGCGTTCCTCGTGGCGGCGGCCGTAAAGCGCGGCGGTCGAACGGCCGGTTCCGGCTGAATGTCAGTGCGGAGCTGTGGGCCGGGGAGGAAGGTGGTTGGCGGTCCCTCTACCACCTCCGCCGCTGCCTCCTCCGCTTGTGCTGCCACTGCGGGCGCCCGGCCGCTCGGCCGCTCGGGCATGAGACCGTGAGGCGGGCAACAGGTCGGGGCCGCCGACATGTTTGGCCGCTCGCGGAGCTGGGTGGGCGGGGGCCATGGCAAGTCTTCCCGCAACATCCACTCCTTGGACCACCTCAAGTGAGTGTGTTGGGGGCTGAGGGGGGCAGGCCGCGGGGCTGGACTTGGGGATGGGGGCGAATAGCTCCGGGCCGGGGGCTCTGCGAGGTGTCAGAGCGAGGTGGAGGGCTGAGAGAGACGTCCGGGAGAGGCAGTACGATGGTTAAGAGCGAAGGCTCTGGAGTCAGGGTGCCTGGGTTCGAACCCTGACACCGTCGCTCCTCGCTGTGTGACCTTGGGCAAGTGGCATAGCTTCTCAGAGTCTCAGTATTCCCATTTGTAAAGTAAGGGGATAGATTTCAGCTTACGAATGCACACTTCGTTGTTGCCAGGGCAGCGGTGGGCACCAAGCTTCCGGGGTGGTACTTCTTTGGCTGGGCAGCTTTGGGGTCAGAGGTCAGGTTCGAATCTAGGTGTGTGAATTTAGACCTCAGTTTCCTCAGTTGTAAAGTGGATATAGTGACAGCCTCTGCTCCCCATGATTGTTTTGAGGGTTGGGTAAGGGAATGCACATAAAACTGGAAGCATGTGCTAGTACTCAATAAAGGGCAGTCGTTTAAAATTTTTTTTTTTCCCCTGGGAGAGTTTAAGGAGGGGCCTATCAGGAATAGAGTTTTGGGGGAGGGCAGGTGGCCAACGTGGTCCTGGGAAGCGGGAGTGCACAGAATGGCCTTGCAGTCAGACCTGCATTCAGATCCTTTTTCTACCGCTTCATGGCTGTGTGACCTTGGACAAATTACTCCTTTGAGCCTCTGTTTCCCCATCTGCAAATGGGGTTTGATGTACACTGTGCAAGAACTTAATAATGTCATGCATGGAAAGAGATAGATCCAGGTCTCTTAACACAGTAGGTGGCTAATGGTGGAAGCAGTGTTTTATCAGCTAAGTAAGGCCTTTCCAGACCACCGTACCTAAAGTGCTTCCCCACTTCAATTCCTTTCCGCCTGATCTTTTTCTGGATTTCATTCAATGCATATCTCCACTATCTGCATTTAGCCTGTTTGTTTTCACTTCTTTTCTGTCTGCTTCTAAACTGGTACTTCCAGGAGAGCAGAAACTGCTTTTTCCACTCACAGCTGCATTTCCAGCATCTAGCGCTGGGCCTGCACACAGTAGGAGCTCAGTGGGTACCAAAAGAGTGGGGAAAAAAGTGAGTGAATTGGGAACAGATGCAGAGCATGCTGACAAACCTAGGATTTTTGGGTGGGGGGCAGTGGAAAAGAGACTTCTGTGGAGGAAATGACTGAAGGGAGGAAAATCTAGTGTGTGTGTGTGTGTGTGTGTGTGTGGTAGTCGGATGGGGAGTAGGCATTCCTTTGGTGGTAAGAAATAGGCTGGTTTCCAAAGGGAGCTCCCAAGATTACTCATAGGAAGGAAAAAGGATGGGGGTGTTGAGCAGAAGCAGTAGAAGGAAGACTGGGGCCCAGGGAAAGGATTGGTGGGAGGGAAATTAGATGGGGTTTCTCATTTGGCAAGGGGTCATGGTGTTGTACCTCTCAGCTATGTCTTTTCTAGCACGGAGCAGGTGCTTCATAAATGTCTGTGGGTCTCAAAGAGTTGGAGGGGTAGGTAGGGATCAGTATGTAGTAAGGAATGGTATTGGAGGGGTGATGAGAGAGGACACAGGGAGGAGAAGGCAGAGGACAGGATGGGGGTGTTTCGGGAGGTCAGGAATCTTAAATGGGAGGGCAGCCAGACTGGAAAGGGAGAGGCAGAAGGATTTCAGGAATTTAGAGAGTGGGTGGATGTGGCTGAGAAGGGGAGGATGGTTGTTTAAAGGAGGCTGGGCCTCCTGCTAACGTCCAGGCACCTGCAGGCTTTCACCTGTATCTGCCTGCCTCCAGCCCTTGTAAAGTACTTTAATCATTATTGAATGCATTTTTTGGTGCCAGGTACTTACTGAGGACTTCCTGTGTGTTATTTCCTTTAGTCCTCACAAGTCTGTGAGTTATGGGAACTGTTATTGTTTTCCATTTTATAGGAGTGGAAACTAAGGTTCAAAGAGGTTAAGTCACTTGCCACAAGGTGACAACAACTGAAACGGTCAAAGCCACGATCTGACTTCAGTGCTCGTACCCACTGCACTGTCTTTCTGAAAGAAACTGCCTCTTAAGTCAGTTTGGGAAGACTTTCAACTTGGTTGAGTCTCTCTGCCCGATGGGACATCTTTACCCACCAGCCAGACAGGGAATGGTAAAGGTCCTCAGATTCCTTTGAAGTATCTGGGAACTGCCCGGGCTCATTGTTTAGGTTAAAAGACCATTGGGTGCTTTTGGAAACCCGAGCTGCCTGTGTTGGAGCTGCCTGTCCTGGATCAGGCGGATCAGCTTTAATCCATATTACAGTCTAAGGAACCTAGCAATTTGCAGATGGCTGTGGGGCTTAGAAGATCCCAAAATGACTTGGAAAATATGCCATAAACACCTAGTGCTCACCCCAGCGCTTGTGATGTCCTTCATTTGGCTCTGACGGTTAGCATCTTGGGTCTTGGGTACGGAACAGCTCATTCCCTGAGGGAGTTCACAGGCTGGTGTGGGAGACAGCCATAAAGCCAGTGACTGTACAGCGTGACAAGTGCTGGGATCACTGTAGGTTCAGGATTCTGTGGGAACCCTTGGAAGCCTTCTGGGGGAGGCAATGCCAGAGCAGAGGCTTTGAGCGCAGAGCCATCATGTGGGGCTGCAGGAAGTGGGAGGGGCCCCTGGGGTTTGTGGAGTATTGAGGTAAGGCTGGAGGTAGAATGTAGCTTGGGCTTCATCTGACATGAAGGGTGACCAACCATCCCGGGGTGCCTGGGACAGAAGGATTTCCCAGGACATCGGAGTTTCAGTGCTAAAACTGGGAAAGTCCTGGTCACCCTAATAGATTCTTGGCTTGACCTAGGGCACTGTGGGTGGAGAGGAAAGAATGAGATAAATAAAAGAATTTAGAGTTGAAAAAAAAAAGGTGTTTTTTTTTTTTTTGACATGCAAAGCATCTAAGAAACCTCCCCATTTTAAAAATAGACCTTATTTTTAAGAACAGTTTGAGATTTAAAGAAAAATAGAGAAGATAGTACAGAGAGCGGGAATTGCTTTCAAACCACATTATTCTTCCTAACATTCTCAGCTTTCAAACTGGAAAGCTTTCAAACTTTCTGTTAGACAGGGTTGTACTTTTGCTAAATAATGGGAAACTACATGCCTGTGGTCCTTGTGTGCTGAATCGAGTCAGGGATTCAGTGGAGACAGACTGAGATGGTGAGAGGTTATTGGCTACATGTCAGCGGTGGTTTATTGCCCAGACTAGTGGCAAGGCCGTGACATTGACTAACAAACGCCCACCAACAAGCAGAACCTTTACTGGTGGAGTTGTGTGATTGCTTCTGAAAGATCACCTTTAGCAGGAACTGCTAGTCCGCAGACCGGTAGAATCACCTTTGTGTGTGGGTCAAGATTCTTGGTTGCAAGTGACTGAAACCTGGCTGGAATTGCTTTCTGCCCCAAATGGAATGATTGGCTCCTGTCCCTAAGCAGTCTGTCTTAGCTAAGCCATGGCCAAGTCCAGGTGTTCAGACAGAGCTGTCAGCACCTGTCTCTTTCCAGTTCTTGTCTCCGCTTTCTTCTGTGTTGGTGTCATTCTCAGCAGGCTCCAGGCTTATATCGAATCAGTCTAGCAATCCGTGGGGGAAAAGGGAGCTTCCTTTCTAAATATTGTCCAGAAGTGAGTACAGTTGGACCAACCTGGGATCTCTTGCCCGACCCTGAGCTAGTCACTGTGGCCAGGGGCATGGCGGGCTCTCATTGACCCTTGCCTGGAACCAGGGTGGCATCAGCTCCTCCCAAGCTAGTGGACAGAGAATGAGAGAAAGAGGTGGTTTCCTCTGGGAAAATCCGGGTTTCTTACCCAAAGAGAAGGGGAATGTGTGTCTAGCAGGCAGATGCTCACCTGTTCACACTTTAGTCAACTTTTGCCTAAGATAGCACTGATTATTTTTAAGGGTACAGTATTGCCAGATGGATTTTTGGGGGATATCCTGTTCACCATATCACTTAAAATGAGTCCGAGGCACCCATTATGTCAAGTCCAAGTTCTTCCAGGCCCTCTGAGTACTCTAGGCTCTGCTGTCATCCACCTGGTTTTAGAGCACAGGTGAGGACCCTCTAATGCAGGCTAGGGAGTCAGGAGCATCCTTGGCAGGCAGACACCCATTTAAAGGGAGGTCTAAAGGATGAGAGGTGTGCCAGGCTGTAGGGGTGGTTGAAAGCGAGGATTCTGTAGGCAGAGGGAACTGTGAGAGGCCTGAAGGAGAGAGAAAGGCTCAGGTTGTTCAGCGAGGGGGTGCCTGTGGGGGGAAGGGAAAGTGTAGACCCCAGAGCAGATTGGTGAGGCAGGAGACGTCACAGACACCTCTCCTTAAATCACATTAAGGAGTTTGGACATCAGGTTGGAAACAGTGGGCAGCCGTTGAAGGTGTTTTTTGTTGTGTTTTTTTTTTAACTGGAGTGCTGTGGTCCCGCCGAAGTTTGGAGGGTGGCTTGGGGGAGGGCCCGGCAGGAGGTGGACATCCAGTTGGACTGCGGCCGCCTTCTGGGAAGTGAGGGCGGCCGCCCTCCCTAATCCAGGGGTTCACCAAGATGGGCCTCCTGTCTCGCTGTCTGTGACACATACCCCACATGCCCGTCTCCCTGCATCATTTCTCTCTCCACTTGAGCTGCCCTCCTCTTGCTGCCCATCCAAATGCCCACTGTATCACGGAAGTACCAGTTCTTCCATAAAAATTGCCCTGGTCACTTCAGCCAGCGGGAAGCTCTGCTGTCGTCTCTCATGTCACTCGTTCTTGTTCCCACGCTCCCACTCAGTTAACCCATTGTCACGTACAGTCTTCCTGTCACCAGAGGTAGACCAGCTGTTAGATGCTCTGGGCTTTTCTAGCTTTATCCCAACCGTGAGTTAGAGCCCCCAGGAAGCTGCCCAGGGTTGCTCAGGCTTGTCCTGTTGCTATCAGAAGTGGTCTTACTTGAGCATATGTTGTCTCTGCC